CGCCGCCGCTGCGCCTTTAAGGCCGCTGGCCGGGAGCGCCCGGGAGCGGATCCGGGCGGGGGGGGGGGCGGGCACCGGCCGGGGCGGGCCGGGGCTGCGCGACCGGGACCGGGGCCGCCACCGCCACCGGGGGCCCGGCCTGGGCGCGGGATGGGGCGGCGGGGACGCGGTGCGGCCGCCGTGTAGGAGCGGGCGGCGGCGGGGCCGTGGCGGGGCGCGGGGCCCCGCGGGCGGCGGCTCCGGAGGCGGAGGTGAGCGGGGCCGACCGGGAGCACCGGGAGCGGCGGCGGGCGGGGGGGGGGCGGATCGGGGCGGCGGCGGGGACCGCGATCGGGACCGGGACTAGGATTGGGAGTGGGACTGGGATTAGGGCGGGGGGGCGACACCGGGCTGGTCCCCGGGGCGGCGGGAGCGGTGCGGCGCCGGGGGGGCTGTGCGGTGCTCGGCGGGGGGGTCCCGGTGCGGCCGGAGCTGCCGGTGCGGCGGGAGCGGCCGGTGCGGCGGCGGGAGGGCGCTGGCGGGTCCTGGTGAACGGGCCGGGCTCGGCGGGGCTCCCGTGCCCGGAGCGGGGAGGGAAGGAGGGAGGGAGGGACGGAGAGAGGCGGCCGCCGCCACCGGGGCCGGCCCTTCTCGGTGTCCGTTCCCCACCGCCGCTCGCCCGCTCCTACCGCGGCCGGCTGGGACCGGGCTGCCACGTCCCGGCTGGTTCCCGGTGCCCCGGGGCGGCCGTGCCCGGTGCAGCCCGTTGGCCGCCGTTCAAGACAAACAGGGCCGGGACGCCCGGGTCGGTCCCAGCTTTGTCGCAGGTCGCTGCGCCGGGGAGGGCGGGCTCGGGGCGGCCTCGGCAGGGCCACGCACCGGGCACCTGGAACCCAGCACTGGCATACTGGCACCAAGCACCGGGGTTCTGACACCGGGAACCCAGCCCCGGCCGTTCCCACAGGGGCCATGGAGGTGGTGGGAGAGCTGGGACTTGGGGTCTGCATCCCCCAGGGTGGAGCGGGACACCAGGACACTCTGCCCCTTGCGTGGCCTTGCACCCCTGTGAGCACCGGGGTCCCTCTCGGGGTGTCGGGGTGGGGGACCGAGCGCTGAACCCCCCCCCGGTGCCCGCAGCATGTCGTGGTTCAGCGGCATCCTGGTGCCCAAGGTGGACGAGCGCAACGGCAAGAAGGGTCCCCGGCCCCGCGCCGGCCTCTGCGGCCCCCGCTACATGAGCTGCCTGCAGGACCCTGAGATGGAGAGGGGCGCGGGACCCCCCCGGGGGCTGCGCTGCACCTGGCAGGAGGACCACTATGGCAAGAAGGGGCCTGCGGGCGACCTGGGACTCAAATCGGTGGACGGGGCCCTGGAGGACGGCGAGGCCAAGGGCCCGAAGGGGGTCGGGGGACACGGGGGGCGGCCGTCGGCTGGCGAGTGCTGGCGGCGGCTGCTCCAGGTTTTCCGCTCCAAACGCTTCCAGTCGGCCAAACTGGAGCGGCTCTACCAGCGCTACTTCTTCCAGATGAACCAGAGCAGCCTGACGGTGCTGATGGGGGTGCTGGTGCTGGTCTGCGGGGTGATGCTGCTCTTCCTCTGCCTGCCCGGCGCCCCGCACGTGCCGGCGGCCGCCGCGCTGGCCGGGGCCACGGCCCTGTTCCTGCTCCTCATGGTGCTGTGCAGCCGCAGCGCCTTCCCCCAGGACTACATGTGGGTGGTGAGCTACGTGGTGCTGGGGCTGCTGGCCGGGGTGCAGGCGCTGGGGACGGTGGCCGTGTCCCCCCGGAGCGCGGCCGAGGGCGTTTGGTGGAGCGTCTTCTTCATCTACATCACGTACACGCTGCTGCCCGTGCGGATGCGGGCGGCCGTGCTGGCCGGGGTCCTGCTCTCCGCCCTGCACCTCGCCATCGCCTGGCACCGCAACGCCGCCGACCCCTTCCTCTGGAAGCAGGTAGGGCAGGGGGGACACACGCACACGGCGGGGCGGGGGGCTGAGCCCAGGGGGTCCTGCCCGCCTGTGGGCATAACCCCCAAGCGGGAGCCGGCGGCTCCCCGCTTCCCTTTCTGCCAAATTGGGGTGGTTTTGCACTTGATGGCGGAAAATTCTGGACGTGGGAGGGGCCCCTTGGCTGCCCGGGGGTGGAGGGGTCCCGGGGGAGGTCCCGTGCCAGGGGCCTGTGGTGAGACCAAGGGTCTCTCTGCTGCCGCAGCCCCCATGGGGCGGGAGGGGCCCCTCGTCCTGGCACAGACCCACCATTGTGGGCTGCACCAGGGGAGGGGGGCACCCACAAAGCCCCTGTTGTGGGGCTGGCGGAAATCCTCGAGGAGGGGATGCAGGGCCAGGGGAGGAGGGGGAGGGCTGTCCCCCAGGGCACTGGGACGCTGGCAGTGTCCCCTGTCCTGCCCCTCTGGCGTGCTGGGTGCTCCCAGTGAGGTGCTGTGGGCACAGAGGGGTCCCCCATCCCCAGGGCTGGGTGTTCCCAGCCCTGGCAGCCCCTTGCTCTGCTCCCCCTCCTTGCACGGGGCCACTCGTCACCGTCACCCTCGCCCTGCCTGGCCGGGGCTGGGGCCACGTGCCGTCCCCGCGGGGCACAGGGCGAGGAATTCGATGACAGGGGGGATCCGAGGCCAGCGCGGCTTTGGGGGTCACGGGAGGGGCAGCCCCTCGGGGTGGGGCTCACCCCCCCAGGGCGGGAGCGATGGGGCTTCCAGGGGGATGTGAGGGGGCTGGGGGGTGCGAGGCCCCCCCTCCCAGTGTGTTGGAGAGCTATAAATAGCCCTGGCTCCGGTCCCGGGGGACTGGGACAGGGGGGAAACCGCAGCTCCCACTGCAGCCATCTCTGCTTCCCGACTTCCTCCGCTTCCAGAGGGTGTCCTCGTGACCCACCCTGCTCCAGGTCCCCGTGTCCCCCTTGCCCTGGGTTCCTGCATCCTTATATCCCCCCTTCTCTGGTTTCCTGCATCCCCATGGCCCCCTGTTCCCCCTGTCCCCCGTGTCCCCGGGTCCCTGCGTCCCCACATCCCCCTGCCTTGGGTCCCCATGTCCCTCCCTGCCCCACATCCCCCCTTGCAGTTCTTAACAGCACCCCCCATACCAGAGGCAGGGGTTTGGGGCGCACACCGGGGTGGCAGAGCCGGCTGGGGGGGGGTCACGCTGAGCCAACCTCCCCCTCCCAGCTCAGCGCCAACGCCCTGATCTTCCTCTGCACCAACGTGGTGGGGGTCTGCACCCACTACCCCGCTGAGGTGTCGCAGCGCCAGGCCTTCCAGGAGACCCGCGGCTACATCCAGGCACGGCTGCACCTCCAGCGGGAGAACCGGCAGCAGGTGGGCTGGGGGGGGGTCCCAGGGGTCCCCGTGCCGGGCTGGGGGGGGGTCCCAGAGGTCTTGGCCCCCCACTAATGACGCTGCCGTGGGTGCAGGAGCGGCTGCTGCTCTCGGTGCTGCCGCAGCACGTGGCCATGGAGATGAAGGAGGACATCAACACCAAGAAGGAGGACATGATGTTCCACAAGATCTACATCCAGAAGCACGACAACGTCAGGTACGGGGGGGGACGGGGGCGTGGGTGAGGTTTTGGGGGTGTCAGCAGGGGAGGGGGTCCGGGGCAGCGCGTGGACCCTCCCCAGCCCGCGCCCTTGCTCCCTGCAGCATCCTCTTCGCGGACATCGAGGGCTTCACCAGCCTGGCCTCGCAGTGCACGGCCCAGGAGCTCGTCATGACGCTCAACGAGCTCTTTGCCCGCTTCGACAAGCTGGCGGCGGTGAGTGGAGGGGCCGGGGGTGTCTGGGGGGGGTCCCAGAGCCCCCCTGACCCGCCTGTGCCCCCCAGGAGAACCACTGCCTGCGCATCAAGATCCTGGGGGACTGCTACTACTGCGTGTCGGGGCTGCCGGAGGCGCGGGGGGACCACGCTCACTGCTGCGTCGAGATGGGCGTCGACATGATCGAGGCCATCTCGTGAGTGGGGCAGGGCCGGGGGGCTGTGCCCGCCCCCCGGTGCCCATCCCCGGTGTTGGCAGGTCCCACGTGCCCCCACGACTTGTGGGGACAGTGCCTTGTCCCCAGTGCTGGCGCGTCCCTGGTGCCACCACAATGCTGGGGGGCTGTGCCCGCCCCCCGGTGCCCATCCCCAGTGTTGGCAGGTCCCACGTGCCCCCGCGACTTGTGGGGACGGTGCCTTGTCCCCAGTGGTGGCGTGTCCCTGGTGCCACCACAATGCTGGGGGGCTGTGCCCGTTTCT